TATAAATGTTTATTTAAATGTAATAATAAAGAAAAACTACAACATAAAACAGGGGGACTTGATGTGTTGTGAATGAATTATTTAAAAAAAATCCAAATTGCTTGCGCGTATATTATCTTACTTTGAAGAAACACTTACAAAAGTTGGAAATCCTTAAAGCTATTCGTGTTATTCCAACTTTTCAATCTTATTATACTCTTTGAAGAATTTCAGATAGAGTAATTACTGTAAGTTTTTTGATACAACACATGTGTAATGAGTTAAGTGCAATTGTTTATACGAAACTGTAGGTTTTCACTCGTTTTTTGCGTTTTCGGAAAACAATTACATTTAACTCACTAAACATGAATTGTATCAACAAATTCTCAGTGATGACTTCATCTGTAATTATTTACGGAGTATAATAAGCTTTAAAAAGTTGTAATAACATGAATAGCTTTAAGGATTTTCAACTTTTATAAGTGTTTTTTAAAAATAAGATAATATACATGCAAGCAATTTGGATTTTTTAAAAATAACTTATTTACAACACATTAAGCCCCCCTGCTTTATATTGTAGTTTTTCTTTATTATTACATTTAAATAAACATTAATAATAACTATTAAAAACGTATGCCTTACTTGGATATAAAGCCCCCTCAAGAGTTACTTTAAGAAAGAAAATATTGTTTGTGAAGAAACTAATGTTCCTGAATATTATCTAGTTATTTAACTATCACAATTAACATTGGGAAAAAGTTATATCCATTAATAATTGTATGATTCAGTTGTGAATAAGAAAAACAATAACACATGGTACTTACGCTTTATATAAACGTTAAGTGTCGGAATAGTATCTTATCCACTCTGGCCAAGTGGTAAGATGCTTTCCTGATGAACTGGGGCCTCGAGTTCGTGTCATATAATAGCCGAATTTTTTAATTTATTTTTTTCCTATAACTGTTGATATTTTAGGTAATCATTCTATTAATATATAAATTATAATCGTTGCACAAAATTTTCTTATTTATTTTTCTTTCAGAAATCTCACCTGAGATATCAGACGAGATCTCGGGTGAGATTTGTCAGGAGGGTATCTATAGTGTGATTCGAGACATGTACCATAGGTTATGTGCACTGCATATGCAGATCTTGTGCGGTTCTCGTCTCAACTGGTATCGCTGACGCACTAAACTTTCGAACTAGCACTGTACTACCGGTGGTACTCTAACGGCGCCAAATCTTTCTCAGTGTACAAGAAATTTTGAGAAAATGTGTTTGCTGGGATGCTAGTGAGCTTCAAGAGAGTGAGCAGCAGAACCGCCGCTGTTTGTTGCAAAATCTACAAGACGTACATGCTTACATAAACACGTATATAGATAAAGGTTACATAAATATACATATATATACTTTGCAGCAAACAACGAGTGGAATTCTGTGTTAATTTTACGGGCCGTTACAGCCAATTATCTACTGTCCTGCGTTCTGCTGCTCCCTTGAAGCTCACCAGCGTCTGTACAGGCTCTTCGGCGCTAGTAATTGCGCCCCACCTCGAATACATGCTTGCACTTGTGTCAATCTTTAAGGACACAAGGTTTTTACAAAAACGCAATATAAATGATTTGTGGAAATCCGAAACACTTTTGTCATATTTCTTTCTGGTGAAGAGTTATATGGTGATGTGAGTAGTGCCATGTAATCTATTTTTAAACCAGCTGCAACTGTGTTCAGTGAATAGAAAATGAAACGTTTTCAATAATAGTACCATTTATGGCAAGATTTAAATCTATCTTCTACTTGAAATTTGACCTTTAAAAAAATGGATTTCTGGGTAAATTTTAAGTGGAAGATAAATTTTAATTCTGCCACAAATAGCAGACTAACAACTTTTCAGTGCATACAATATTTAAAATTGCGGCTGGTTTATAAAATCGATAACATGGCACAACTTTATTACTTTGTAACTCTTTATTAAAATATAGTACGTTAAAAAATTTTAGATTTTAACAAACTTTGAGGTTTTTCAATATACCGATAAGAGTAGCAGCTGGTTTAAATCTTTTACTACCCTTGAGCTTCAGCTCTTGGTCTATTCGTAGGATTACCTGTCCACATGGCACAGTCGCATGGCTTCATGGCTGGCACTTATTCATTTTCTCTATCGCATACACGTCTACACTTGTACAGACAGGATCAGGGCCCTATCAGGCCAACCCGTCAGCAGTACATGGTATCACTTTTGTTTTTTATAACCCTTTAAAATTTTTTAAAATATTGTAAATTTTTAATATTCAGTACTTTATCAGATAAGATATATCTGAGTGTATATCTATGATGTACTTCTATATGTATATGTAAATACTACAAAATAATTATAAATGTTAGGTGACAATGGAATACCTTAAAAGTAGCATTAAATCAGTTCTTGGTACTCCAAANAAATTTTTAATATTCAGTACTTTATCAGATAAGATATATCTGAGTGTATATCTATGATGTACTTCTATATGTATATGTAAATACTACAAAATAATTATAAATGTTAGGTGACAATGGAATACCTTAAAAGTAGCATTAAATCAGTTCTTGGTACTCCAAATTATGAAGGTCAATTATCAGGTGCTGAAATAGTACGTATATTTTAATTTTCCCTTGTAATGAATAAAATCAATAGTGCCAAAATTTAACCTCGTGTGTTATATTAATTATAATTCCAATTATAAGGTCGAAAAACTGGTAGACAGAATACTTTCATCCACATTACTTGATGATAGAAGAGATGCTTGTCGAGCTTTAAAAGCTCTCTCTAAAACTCATAGAGTAGACGTAGGTACACGTGGAATGGATGCGTTGAGACAAGTTATATTTGTTGATGAAACCGATTGTGAAATAATAGGATTGGCCTTAGATACATTATGCAATATAACGAGTCCAAAAATTTTTAATGAAGAAGGTAGATAGTTATAGCAATTAGTACTTTATATAATGACTGTTTATTGATGTTAAATATTATTTTTCTAGTGGATGTCCATGTGTCCAATCATAATGTTGGAGAACAGTTTACCGAAATATTTATCAAAACGCATACAAGTATTTGTCAAGTTTTAAAATTTTTAGAAGAGTTTGACTTTCGAGTTAGATGGTCAGCTCTGAGATTGCTAACCAACTTAGTTGTCAATAAACCAAGAGATATACAAGAAATAGTATTAATAAGTACTATGGGTGTCTCTAAGTTAATGGATGTACTTAGTGACAGCAGAGAAATCATAAGGAATGATGTAAGTTTATATATAGACCTCTGCTCTATACAAGGGTCTGCCTAAACGACACCCTAGCGCATCCCAGCAAACACATTTTCTCAAGATTTCTTGTAAAAGTCTTGTATACGTCTAATGTACATCAGAAAGATATCTTTAGGGAATTTTACTCCACAAACTCCCTAATGATCTCTTTCAGATAGACATTAGAAGTCTACAAGACTTCTACACTAAGAGAGATTTGGTGCTAAAATTGTCCTTCCCCCTACAGCAGCTATAGCAAATCACGATTAGTCTGCTATCTCTGACTACTGGGATAGCAGGTATCTTAGTCGGAACTGCGTGCGCACCAGCCCAAGCATAGCGTTACCCTTCTGATAAATCTCACCCGAGATCTCATCTGATATCTCATGTGATTTCTCACCTGAGATCACAGGTGAAATCTCATGCCAAATTTTCATCTGAGATCTCAGGTGATATTTCTGAAAGAAAAATAAATAAAAAAATTTTGTGCAAGTATTATAATTTATATGATAAATAGAATGATAACCAAAAATATCAACAGTTATAGGAAAAAAAAAAAAAAAATTCGGTTAATATGGGACACGAACTCGTACCCCCAGTTTCTTAGGCAAGCATCTTACCGCTTGGCCAGAGAGGATGAGATACTATTCCGACAATTTACGTCTATATAAACTGTAAATACCACGTGTTATTGTTTTTCTTATTTACTACTGAATCATACAATTATTAATAGATACAATTTTTCTCAATCTTCGTTCTAATACTTAACTAACTAGATAACATTCAGGAATATTCACAAACAATATTCACAATCTCTTAAAGTTACTCTTGAGGGGGCTTTATATCCAAGTAAGGCATAAGTTTTTAATAATTATTGTAAATGTTTATTTAAATGTAATAATAAAGAAAAACTACAACATAAAACAGGGGGACTTGATGTGTTGTGAATGAATTATTTAAAAAAAATCCAAATTGCTTGCGCGTATATTATCTTACTTTGAAGAAACACTTACAAAAGTTGGAAATCCTTAAAGCTATTCGTGTTATTCCAACTTTTCAATCTTATTATACTCTTTGAAGAATTTCAGATAGAGTAATTACTGTAAGTTTTTTGATACAACACATGTGTAATGAGTTAAGTGCAATTGTTTATACGAAACTGTAGGTTTTCACTCGTTTTTTGCGTTTTCGGAAAACAATTACATTTAACTCACTAAACATGAATTGTATCAACAAATTCTCAGTGATGACTTCATCTGTAATTATTTACGGAGTATAATAAGCTTTAAAAAGTTGTAATAACATGAATAGCTTTAAGGATTTTCAACTTTTATAAGTGTTTTTTAAAAATAAGATAATATACACGCAAGCAATTTGGATTTTTTAAAAATAACTTANATTAAATTGACACTATTTTTTCCCTACTGTATTTTTTTGCATTGTAAAAATAATTTGTTTTTTTAATAAAAAAGTTACCATTGTTGTAAGACATTATACTATTTTTTATTCTCCTAATCTAAGAATTCATTTCTTGAAGTACAGTATATTACACACACCTAGTGAGCGAAGTTAAGGAGCATAGCAGAACATATACTTAAAGCATTTTCGGTGGGGGTATGCAGAAAATATACTCTAGAGAAGTTGCCTTGGTAGGGCCAAGCTAAGCCGCGTTACATCACGCCATCTGTCTCTATACTTTTGCCTCGCTATAGGACCTATCTAGGCTGTCTAGGTGGGTACAAGCTAGACCCCCGCTAAGCTTTCCGATCGGGCTTCGATTCAGAAAAAAATTTTGCTGCTACTTTGATGACTATGTGTTGTACGGTCTGAAAAGTTACATTTGTACAAAAGTCTTAATTTTACTGCTTTCGTTCCCAAAAAAATTTATGTCATTCTATAAAAATAAAAAAAAAGTTTGAAATGTAACAATTAAATTTCAATTATTTAAAAATTATAAAAATACTGGAGAAAACTTTGTACAAATTTGACTAATGCAAACTTATGAATATTAATTAAGTTCATGTTGTAATTATAATTTCTAGTATGAAGCAACTTTCCGTCCATGCATAATTTTTTCTTATGTGTATGAAAACTTACCATTTACAAGTTTGTATGAATTTTCATTATGATGGTGCGAATGTTTTGAGGTCTGCTCATTACTGTTTGGCGAATTTATTGATAATTGGACAATCGATAATCGTAGGGTTGAGAAATTAACTTTAGATGGAAGTTGATTGTCTGAAATTAAAACTTCGTCTTCTCGCTCTTTCTGTTTGTCTTCTTTGCCTACAATTTCAATTGAATTACATTTTATGAATACAATCAAACGTATTATGTGTATTTAAGTAAATAAATGCAACCTACAAAATATTTACTTACATATGTATTGATAACTCAAGTACGTATGATTCTAGATTGATACCAAAAATATTTATTTATTTATTTATTTATACTATCGAAAAAACTTACGAATTTTTAGGCCTTCCAAAACTTTAGTTGGAGATAAAACAAGTTCTGTATCATCGGGTACTTGTGGAAGTGCCACAGCAGGCTCTTCATTCGAAGGCGATTCTTGTGTGGCTATTTGTTGGAATGCTGTTGCAGACTGATTGGTGGTATCTAATATTTATTGATAAATTAAGTTATATGAATAAGACATTAAATTTTACTATTCAACTTTTATTCGAGTCATAAAAATTCGAATCTGAATGTATTAATCATTTTTTCATGCATAATTATTGATTTACTGTTAATGATTAATATGCAAGAAATAGATTTTAATAATTTCTTGAAAATATTTAAATTACCTTTTTGTTTTGGAGGAAAGAATTCGTCACATTTAGAGTTATGTTTCAAATTTGTCTAGGTAGTTTTCAAATGTGGGGTTGATGAATCATCACCATGATTTGGAGCCACGAACACGACTTTAATGAACATTGGGCAACCTTATTTCACGCTTGGTTTGGTTTTTCATCTAGTTGCGCCTCTATCAACACACTCGCCAGCACAAGCACGACTTTACAGAATGGTACTCAAACTGCTTCAAAAATTGACTAGTCGTAATAAAAATCTGTTTAAAAAAAAATTTTGTAACAACACATTACACATTTAAATTTTTGTTAAAAACACATTTTGTAGTTAAAAAAAAAAGTCTTATAATATCGTTTTCCTTCGATTTTTTTTTACTAGAAACTGGAATGTAAATTTTAAATGTATCCTTTAGTCTATACCAGAAATTTTTACTTCTGTGGGCAACATCAGCTCTTCAGAAGTATTAGATGTAGGAGCGATGTCATGGACACTCGTTCAAATCAGTAAGAATTTATTGAAAAAAAGGTAGTAAGATTACATTTTATAATAATTCATTAGAGATACAGTTAGTGAAAAAAAAAGGAACATTTTTTTTAACGATTTTGTGGTTACATTTGCGCATTGCAAATGTATCTACAGCAGACAACTATCACAACCAATTGTATTATTGTCTACTTCGTTTTTACATATTGGACAAGTAAAATAATTTGGACTTTTTTCTGATTATTTCAGTTAAGAAGTCTAAAACAGATAAAAAAATATCCGAGGTATTGTTTTGATTGATGTTTTTTTTCTAGAAAATCTCTTTGCACTACATAACTGCGTTCTAAAAAATCCTAGTAGTAGTTTAATTTTATTAAAATGAGCCTTTTTTTCGTACACTTAAATTGTCGATTTCGATAAACAAGTTTTTTTTTTACTTTTGATCCTTTTGGCGTACATTTGACTCTGGGTTGATTCAATTACGACATTATCAAAAATTTCATAATGGTCTATATTCTTTACTTTTTCAGAGAGTACTTTATTGGTGCTAGAATTTTCTGATCTTATATAATAATATGCCGCTGGGATTCTTCTATTACCTGAAAAATATTTTATTATACTGCACTCAAATACACTTTCAAATATTTCAAATTTATTTTATTAGAATTTGTTGTAAACTCTAGGTAAGAACTTCTAATAATAATTATGTTTGAGCCATACATTTTGTTATCTCAAGATAAGGCCATGAAATTGGTATAATTAACGATCGAACGAACTTACCTACAAGTGAAGTTCGATCACAATCATGTGAAGAGCGTTGATCGGAGAAATTGCAATCCCATCCAATAATTTTTTTCGAACTTTCATAATAACAATTTCAAAACTCTCACTCTAAAATAAACGATGAACTGCACACTAGATCTTGGACGTCGGTGCATGGCGAGCAGGAAGGGGGAAAGTAAAGGAACTGTTAGCATAAATGCTGCTGTCCTTAAAATTAAACACTAAATTTTACCTATATACTCTAAAAATTTATAGCGTACATCTGGAGGAGAAGGTATATGCGCTTCATAATCTCTTCGAACAAGGCTCTTCATATAATTGTGATCAAACTTCACTTATAGGTAAGTTTTTTCGATTACTAAATATGTTATGCACTTCTGGTAATTTTAAAATATTTTATATCTCATGATTAAAAATTTAAAAAATTTCAAACAGAATGAAAAATGTTTTTATCGTACTGCAGTGAGAGCACGAACTCTGCTCAAGCTTCGCAAAGAAAAAATTGTCCTCCCGACCTACTATTGGGGAAAAATTGTATTCGACTGATGGGAGGAAGCAAAAAAGCCTCAGATTACGTGCTTATCCCCCTTTAGTCAAATACTCACGATCTGAGACATTCTTTATTTTCCTCACCAGTTAGTAGTACGTTATTGATTCACTCAAATTTAACTAAAACAGTTGAATACGTGGTCTATTATCAGAAGGACTCATATTTATTTCATACTGTGCAGCGACCTCACACAATTTATTTAAGTTCAGTGTACTTATATCTGTATTGCCTGAAGAATCAAAAGTACATTCGAAGATGGTTGAGCGCTGATAAGTTCATTTCATAAGGTATCCATGTAGTAGGCTTCCAATTTTTCGAATATTTGATGAGTCTAATCATTATTATAATCAGTAAAACAAGAGAGCACTTA